AAATTGTTAATTCCAGATTAGTCTACACAGATTTTTATATCAGTTTGTTTATATTTTCATTATTGTCTTTTCTGACGATATGAAAATGTAAATATTTGACAAGCAGCATTAAAAATAGATTTCAAACATTTATATAGAAAAGAAAGAGGTACAAATTTATTTATTCTACTGTTTAGGTGCTGAAGATCATCACTGAATAAAACAGATAAATCCTAGGCCTCATGGAGCTTACAATCTGGGGTTGGGGAGTGATTAAGGAATGGACAAAAAACTGATAGGTCCTGTATATGGTATGTCAGATAGTGATAAGTACTATGGACAAAATAAAGTAGGGAAGATGGGAGTGCTGCAATAAAGGTGTTTAGAAGGCAGGAGAGACATATTTTTAAATAGTATGGTCAGGAAATGGATCACAGAGATGACATTTGAACAAAGACCTAAAAACAGTAAGGAGCAAACCATGTAGATATCTGGGAGAAGATCCTCTCAAGTGGATGGTAGCAAATACGAAGCCCATGAGGCTGAAGCATTTTTTGTGTGTACAAGGAACAGCAAGAAAGTGTGTGGCTGTGATCAAATGTACAGGAGGAAGAATAGTAGCTAATAGGATCAGAATTTATAGGGACCAGATCTTGTAGCTGTTTAAGCTTTTTAGTTTAATCTATACATTCAGTTTCCCATACTTCTTTAAAACAACCTTGACAGTTACATATGCCTCCACCTACTTGACCTTTGCAGACAGGACAGAATATTTTTATGAATCTGATTCAAGGTTAGAACCTCCCTCTGAGACCATTTAGGATAAAAATAAAATTTTTAAATGGGTGGTTAATAGATATGTTTGTGATGATCAGGTTTTTATGAATTGTGCTTTGATGCCTTTGAAATTATTTTCCACTTGATCAATTTAGCTGGAGTCAAAAATAATAGCTCTAAGAGACACTTTGAATTTGTTCGTATTTGTCTTTAACTCAAATGAACCAAAATCATCTTTGATTCCTCCATCCTTGAAATTGCTGCTATAGTTAAGTACTTCGTTTTTTCTCACGTATTCATTTTCGGCAGCATCTTAGGCTGAGGAGTTCTTTGCCTGTAATTGTTTTAGACTAATAATTTCATCATTTATATACCATGAAGTTAATCTTCCTAAAATTCTGCTTTTTCCTATAGTATAACGTACAAACTCCTTACCTTGGTACCTCATGATCGTGTCCCAACCTTTTCCAAATTGTTCGATTTTTCTTGAGATGAACTAGTCCTAATCCATGCATTTTTCTGTTTTCTGTCTTTAAGCCATTTTTCACCCTAGTTCTCCCTCAGCTAATTCCTGTACATTTTTTAAAATTAGGCCAAATCTCTCATGTGTTAAGTGTTTCTTGACTTTAACAGTCTGGCATTAACCATTCTTCCCATGATAAGAAGATATTACTTCTGCAGTTCTTAACCTTTTTCTCTACCTTGATACACCTGAGGTACGTAACACTTCTTTCATTAATTGCGCCTCATTTATCCATACATATTAATATTTTAAATGCATTAGCAATATGAATAAAAATTAAAAATTTAAGAAACAAAATGAAGAAAAGCAGGTAAACTAAAACATCCAGAACTTCAAAACAGCAGCCTAAACATCAGGTCCCAAAGTTCAAATATTAATTTGATGCCAACAAGTTATATAGTTGGGTTTTTTTATTTCTCAAATAGTTATGTGTGAACCAGCTATAGTATATTTCTAACATTTAAGCACGTTAGAAGAATAGTTATTACAGTTTTCCAATATTTTAAAGTCAGTTAACAAATATATTCTTTTAAGAAGTAATCCATGTGTTTATTACAGTATTTTTTATAATATTTAAAAGATTGGAAGAATTTTTAAAGTGTCCAGTAGTAACAGGCTGATTAAATAGCATGCTCAGTAGAATACTGTGCAACTGTTTAAAATAATGCAGGTGAATATTTAATGAGCTAAAATATTCATGATTAAGTGAATAAAATGTCAAATAGTGTGAGCAGATTCACTAGAACAATACATGTACAAAACTTATCGCTAGTTTACTCTGGGTAAGAGATAAATCTTACTAAGGTGGGAAGGTCTTATTTTCTTGATTATCAATAAGCATGTATGACTTTTGTGATGGGGAAAACTTTGTTTTTTGAAAAGGGGAAAGAAATCCTTGAAAAATAAAAATGATTATTTTAAGCAACCTTACCACCTAATCACCCCCTTTGGAAATCTGATGGGAATCCTACTGTGTTCAAGAACTTTAGAAATGATAAAGAAGAATTAACTATCATGGAAAGAACTAAACATATAGTTTAGTTCTCAAATCTCAAAATCAGATAATTTTAAAAACAGCTTCAGAAAAACAATTTACTCTTAAGTTCTCAAAGCAGTATTAAAACAGAATTCAAGAATCACGTCTAGAATTCTTGGTTGAGAGGTTTCACTGTCATTTCCCAATTCTTCTAGCCCCAAAAACCTCAAAAGGTAAATATAAGAAAAGGGGTAGGTAAATCTATTTTAACTTTGAAACTATATTAATAAACTAGTGCAAATTTGGTATATTTTATAATTATAAATATTTGATAATGCAACAAAACTGACTCAGACCTAAAAATGAAGAATTTTTCTGTCTTAAGAAGAGGTTTGTTTGATGTTTCTTATCATAAAAATAATATGTAAGTACAGAAACCTCAGAAAAGGCAAAAGATTGTATTTAACAATCACATATTTTTCATCCAAAGGCAACTACTATTACTAGCCTCATATTCCCTTTCAGTTGCGTGTTTGGATTAGTGCACTATTTCTTAATCCAATTCATTACTGTTCCAGGGACTAGAAAGAACACCTACTTCTAAAGAGAGATGGTGATATGCTTCTGGCTCAGAATTTTTTTTTTAATTTGAGTTTTATCCTAAAAATACCACTTAACTTTATAATCTATTTCATAATATTATACTCTAAAAATGCATAAAATCAGAAATTTTTTGTTCTCAGGATTGAGGATACAAGAAGGTGCATCTTATTTACCCTGGGCAGCTGCTTCTACTGTCACTGCATGCCATCCCCAAGGGGACCTTTCCATAGTGAAAAAAGCATTTTGAGGCAAGGGAGGTCATTGTAAGTGTTTAGAGCAGGAAAGTAAGAAAAATAACTATAGAAATATGTGTGCTGCTCAATATATGCTCAAAGAGAAATACAAGACCAGTGTATTAAATTGTGAGTTTGTTTCTTCTTTTGTGCCTCAGTAATTACATTAAATTTATCAAAAAGCTGTGCTGTTCTAAATTGTGGAACTCACACTTGATATTCAAAAAACATTTCTTACCGTTAATGACAGCTAATAATTTTGGTTATTTCCATTTAAGCATATTTATGGTTATAAATGTAAATATGACACTAATAAATGAACTCAGTGTTTGGCCTGTCTATTACAATGACTATGTTTTTTTTTTCAGAATTTGATCCATTTAGAATGTAAATAAAAATGGTATGTCTCAACTCATTTTTCTCACACATTAATTTTTTAATCTAGCTAAACTTTTAAGAGCAATAGTAATTTAATTTAGAAAGGTAGGTTTAGAACCTGAGAAACAACTGGGCTAATAGAATAAAGAAACTATCATTTTGGAGGTCTAAAAATCTATTTTGTGGAAAGGTTTTTATCACCAAAACAGGTCTATAGTACAGATTTCTAGTAAACTCTCTGTTATGCCACTTTTGTTAGCATTTTAGTGGGTGTTGCATCCTTTGAAAAGTTAAAATATGAAATAGACTTAAAAGTAAAATTTCAGGTCCTAATATTACACCATCATTCCATTTTTGAATTAATGAGTCTTAGATGTGTTTAGATACTGCCAAAGCCCAAGGAATTTGGAGCTTTAAGAATTGATAACTTGTTCTTTTTATAAAGTTCTACCTAGGTATAACTTCAGGAAAAATTTGTAACGATTTTAAAATACTTCCTATGTGCTGTTCATTAAGAAACTAAATTTCTTCAATGTAATCTTTATTTCTAGCAATACCAGATGGTCTTGGTTTCTGTTTAATTTAGAATCTATAGGTAAAGTTTCAACAAATTG